AGAACCAAGAGAGATTATGTAAAGGTGCAAATTTCCAATGATGAATGTCATTATATTGTACACCTAAAATGTACCAATAAAATAAAATTTTTTTTAAAAATCTAAACTTTGCCTTAGGATACATTTTTTTGTTTTGCATTTCTGGAGATTGAACCTAGGGGTGCTCTACCCCTGAGGCATATTCCCAGCCTTTTCTTTTGAGGCACAGTCGCAGATGCACAGGCTGGCCTCAGATTTGTGTGGTATGGCATACCTGTAATCCATAGGCTGAGGCAGGAAGATCACAAGTTTGAGGCCAGCCTGGTCAACTTAGCAAGACTCAAAATGAAAAATTTTTTAAAGGTGGCTAGGAAAGTCAGGTATGGTAGAACATGCCTGTAATCCCAGCACTTGGAAGGCTGAAGCAGGGAGTTCACGGAGAATTTGAAGATACCCTGGACTACATAGTTTAAGACCAGCCTGAACTACACAGCGAGGCCCTGTCTTGCAAAAGTGGCCCAGGTTAGGGGAGGGGAGATGTCATAGGGAGTTTGGGAATGTAGCTCAATGGTAGAGTGCCCTGAGGGCTCAATCTCCAGCACTAGATTGATCATTGGTCGGTCTCTGATTGCAGTTCAGTGATAGAGCACTTACCTAGAATGTGCAAGACCCTGGGTTTGATCCTGGAACTGTAAGAGAAGAAGTGTAAGTTCCCCAGTGAGTTTTAAATAGGAACTGAGGGCCGGGCATTTAGCTCAGTGGTTCCGCCACCTGCCTCACAAGCGGAAGGTCCCGAGTTCGATCCCCAGTACCAAAAAATAAAATAGGAACTGAGTTACTCTAAACTCTAGTTTCACACTCTTGGTTCATCTGTTGCCATGTGACACCCACTTTGAACTAATAGATACATTATTACTTGTTGAGACTCCATAGGCCCAGCTGTGCTCAGCCAGGTGGTAATCCTGGTGACTGCCGGCCACCTTTTGCTGCCAAGGCTCCTGCAGGCCGGGCTCTCTTGCAGGTGGTCTTGGGGCCTGTTCCTGACATGTGATCTTGTCAGCAGCACAGTTTGGACCTCCCAAGCATGTAATGCACCGCTGCTCCCCCTTCTTAAGGTTTAGGCCCAGCTCTGTGAGGGTTTCTTCATCCACATGCAGTTAGTGGAAGCAGATGGCTGGCCCAGCCCTCTTTCAAGGAGAGGTTACTACAGGGAACATGAATCCTGGGAGCACCCTTAATGCAGGGCTACCACAACACATGCACTCAGCGTTTGTTATTTATTTATTTTAATCTAAATTGAGGTCCACTGTGGTAAACATCATTGCTGTGCTCCGCACCTCTTGCTCACCCTTGTCCCGGGCCTGGCTGCCCCTGAGGATTTGATTTCCTGCCTTACAGTGTACACCTTGAAGGAACGATGCCTCCAGGTCATCCGGAGCCTCGTGAAGCCCGAGAACTACCGGAGACTGGACATTGTCAGGTCACTCTACGAGGATCTGGAGGACCACCCAAATGTGCAGAAAGACCTGGCGCGTCTGACACAGGAGCACATCGCCAGGCAGCCGCTGGAAGAGGAGACCGAGGAGGTTGATAGGAATTAGCATTCCTGCACCTCAGCTTCTGCTGGTATCAGTGAGTCTTGATCTAGATGGAGTACTGGCCATTACTCTCAGCTTTACAATGTTTCACTCTTGAGTAAAATAGACTACTTCATTTAAAGGAAAGGCTACTTTGCTAGGTTTTGCTGTGTTGAGGGACAAACATCAGAAAGTGCCACTTCATCCCTGCCTTTACTAGAAGTGCTCACCAGGAAAAAGTAGTTGTATATTTGCCTCCTAGTAAGTTAGGAAAGTTTAAGTGTAAGAGAATTTGCATATGTAATTCAGTAAGAATTGCAGCATACCCTTTCATCACAGGAGAAAGCGGTGGCTTCCACATTGAACTGATGTGATATGGTTGGTAAAGTGTCCAGCTCCCAGTATAAGGACACTGGGACTGATGTCCCTGAGGCTGGGACCGGTCTTTCTCCTCTTAAGGCCCCAGTGCCACACCCAGTGGTGGCAAACCTATAGCACATGCACACAGGTTATCATTGGACAGCTCTAAAGGTCACCACCACTGTCCTATCTTGTTCTGAGCCTAAAGTCAGTGTGTGTCAGTGAGCAAACGAGGATGCTTGGTGGAAAGGGTTCAGAAGGTTAGCATCCTCTTCTGTTCAGGATAGGCTTTAACCTGTGAACAGCAAGCATCTTAAAGAGAATCATTGTTTGCTGAATGTGGTGGTGCATGCCTGTGATCCCAGCACTTGGGAGGTTGAGAAACAATGATTGCCTCAAATTTGAGGCCACCCTGGACTACATAGTGAGTTCAAGGCAGCCTGAACTAAATAGCGAGACCTTGTCTCAATAAATAGATAGATAGATAGATAGATAGATAGATAGATAGATAGATAGAGGGAGAAAGAGAATCATTTTTATAGAAAGCACTTTTTCTAATTTTTTAAGTCTCTTTTCTTGGTCCACTCATGTTGTAACACTGTTTTGTGTTTATTTCTAAACCAGGATTGGGTTTCCACACTTACTGTGATAATAGTACTTTTATAATTTGACATCTACACAAAAAATAGCAGAAAAGATCCATCCTTTAATTCTAGTGTGAAATAGCTGTGCTGTAAACAAGTCATCAGATGTGGGTATGTCAATTCTTTCTGTAAATCTATGGCATTCCATTTCGTTCAGCATCTTTATCTGCAGGACCTGGTCACTGTATCTGGCTGGAAGAGAGACCAAAGTCCTCCACCTCAGGCCAGTTCCTCCTAACAGTTTGTCCTGGAGTAGCCTAGAATGTTGTAGTTTTGTGAATGTACAGATCCTTTCTTACAGGCTAGACATAAAGTCACTAACTCAAATTTAATACTTCTATCAGACTTACTTTTTTGTAACTAATAGTGTTTTTTAAAAAAAAAATCCTCCTAGCAGAGAAAAATTTAGAAAGACAGAAAAGTAGGCTGAGGCAGGAGAATTGCTGGGAGTTTGGGGTCAGCCTAAGCTACATAATGAGTACAAAGCCAACCTGAACTACATACCGATAGCAAGACCCTGTCTCCAAAAAAAAAGATCACTGTAGATGGCATCACTTAAATACAATCACTATTAACCTTTGAACTATTTTCTTTTAACCTTTTACAGGACATGTTTTGGTTGGTTAGTTTTAACAGTTAAGATCATGCAATGTGTACACTTTTATATTTTACTTTTTCATTTCAGTTTATAACTTAAATATCTTCCCTTGTTATTATAAGCTTTTCATAAGCATTGGTATAATCTTTCACAGGAGTGATGGAGGTGTGTCTCTGTGTTACTGATTCCATGGGGCACAGCCCTGTACCCTCAGATCATAGTGTAGTAAATGAAGCAGACCTTGTTGTTTCCCTCCTGCCCTCAGCCCACCTACTCAGTTCCTCCTTTCAGTAGTCAGCAGATTAGGTGCTCTTTACAAGTATGTTGTATAGTTCTCATGTAATGATGTGTGTCTAGATTTTAATTTTTTTGTTGAGATTGCTGGGGAGACAGTGACAGAGATCATCTTGTTAAATACAAAATTTGAAACACTGTTTTCTGTGTTGTCCAAGAAAGACTGAAAATTTATAGCGTGAAAAATGTATGTTTTTAATTTGTAATCCTGTGAATGTATTAAATGTATTGTTCTTAAGAGACTGATATTTCCTATTTTGAATTTTTTCTTTAAAAAAACCTGTATATTAAATGGTGCTGAGTAAAGGAAACAGGTGGGGTGTGTTGTGTTGTTTTAACCTGGCTCTTCTCTCTGGGACCCTTTGGAAAAATGTGCATGCTCAGCGCTCTGGTGTGGGGAGGCACAGACAGAGCAGCTCACCTCTGTGTGGTACTGGAGTACAAGCCAGTGTCTTGCACAAGCCAAGTCCACTAGCCTCATTCTAATTCTCCTTGTCCAACCATGAATTGTTCTTAATTTAACATCTTTTCTTCTAGCTTTATTTTTTTATATATATAAAAATGAAATGTCGCTATAAAAAATTATGCACTGCAGGAATAAGTGTTAAGAAAAAAAGCATTCATGTTGGGAACAAAAGTGTCTTACCCCCCTAGCCCAACAGAACCAGAAAAGGCAAGAGGTCAGTATTTTCACTGATGGTTATGTTGAGAATCAAAGGAGATTGGCCTAAGAGCCAGTGCAATAATGAGAAGTGAAATAGGCTGAGGGATAGCTGGGTTTGGGCACTGGATCCCCAGCACTGCCAACAGCAACAGAAAAGGAAGGTGTGAAACATCAGTGTTCTGCCTTCTCGGTGCATAAACCCCACAGTGAACATTTCAGGTACTGCCACACTAGATTTCTATATTTTGGCCACAGTATGGCTCAGAGGTAGAACACTTGCTTATCACAAACAAGGCCCAGGTTCAATCCCCAGCAGTGCAAAACAACAAAAAGATTGCCTTCTATTCTTAGTACTTCAATTCCACTTTGTTAGTCACTGGCTGCCTGATACTCCAGTTTTTCCCCTTTCTGTAGGCACACCTGAACTCCTGGCCTCAAGAAAAGATTTTCTAGGGGCCGAGGGTTTAGCTCAGTGATTCCACTGCCTGCCTTGAAAGTGCAAGGTCCCGAGTTCGATCCCCGGTACCAAAAAAAAAAAATCAAGAAAAGATTTTCTAGGAAGCTGGGGATAGTGATACACACCTATAATCCTATCACTTGGTAGTCTGAAGCAGGAAGATCACAAGTTTGAGGCCAGCCTGAGCTACGTAGTGAGACCTTGACTCAACAACGAAAAAGATTTTCTAGCCTCCAGCCTTCCCCACACATACCAGGAGTCCATTGGCAGATCAGAGAAAAATCAGATACACTTCTGATGGTCTTCAAAAGGATTGGACAGAGCAGGCTACACCTGTTATTCCAGCTGCTCAGGAGGCTAAGGCAAGAAGATTGAAAGTTTGAGGCCAGCCTGGGTTTTAGCGAGACCCTGTGTCAAAAAGAAAGGGCTTGGGCCGGGGATTTAGCTCAGTGGTTCTGCCGCTTGCTTTGCAAGCGCAAGGACCCAAGCTCGATCCCTGGTACCAAAAAAAAAAAAAATTTAAAAATCAAAAAAAAAAAAAAAAGGGGGCTTGTAGCTCAGTGCTCCCTGGGTTCTATACAATTTTTTTTTTTTTTTTTTTTTTTTTTTTTTTTTTTTTTTTTTTTTTTTGGTGTCAGGGATTGAACTCAGGTCTTGCACTTGCCGGGCAGGCAGCGGCACCACTGAGCTAAATCCCCAGCCCCTAACAACTGTTTTCATAGTACTCACTTTGTGTCAGGTAGAAGTGAGAAATGGGTGTGTATGGGCTCTGCAGGCTCTCAGTCATGGTAAATACGGGCTTGAGTGCCTGAGGGGCAGTCGTGTTCTGCACAGTAGCGCTAGTCCCTCAGAGGTGATGCTGTGGGAAGGTGTTCTCTCTGTTCTAACAGTGAGTCCCCTACTATCAGGAAACCATTGAACATTTGCATTAGCCACACATGCGTAGGTCACAGGGAAGGTACATTACTGCCTTTCCATGCTTCATGAGATACGGCCAGCATAGTCCGGCTATAAGATGGGAACAGTACACCTTGCCCGTGGTCATGTGGCTTTCAGGTGACACACAGTACCAAAAGCTTGGTAGGTAGCAGGTGGGCCACAACTCTTTGTCAACCTTACTTAGAAGAATTTACTCTGAACAGGGGTAGAGCTTGGTCCACAGCTCCGCCTCTGGAAGACGGGATCCTGGGCTCCAGATCCCAAGTTTGTTCTGAAGCCAGCGTCTGCGGAGGCTCAGAGAAGCACTAGGCTGGCCTGGATAAGGCTGAGCTTGAACCTGCTGCAGCCTGAAGCCCTCACGAAGGGATGGGAGGAGCGCTGCAAACATGCTCATGCTTGCAGAAGCGAGGGACAAAAAATACAAACTTAATTTTTTTAAATTTTTTTTGAGACAGAGGCATGCTATGTAGTTCAGGACAGTCTTGAACTCACTGTGTATCCCAGGCTGGCCTCGAACTCAGCCTCCCTAGCCCACTGGGATTACAGGCCTGCGCCACCAACGCCCAACTCTTTTACTCCTCTGCAATATCACTCACTGCCTTCCAACACAGGGTAGTTTACTGGCCCCCGCGTTAGGAAACCAAAGCCCAGTGCAGGCTTTTTGTCGGGGTGCGTCCTCACCCTCTGCAGCCGCCAGGGGGCGCTGCCAACCCTGTCGCTGAGACCCCGCCCCCGAGCTCGGCCCCTCCCTTCCCCTGCGGTCCTGCCTCAGCCCCGCTGCCCAGTCACCCCACAGCCCCGCCATGCCCGGCTTCATCTACCAGCTGCCCGCGCGCGTCCTAGACGAGCTGTGCCGCAGCATGGATACGCTTAGCGAGTGGGACTGGATGCAGTTCGGTGAGTATCCCCGCCCTGAGCAGGCGGCCTCAGCACGGACAGTCTGAGCCGGCTCTGGGAGCTGTATTCCTCCCACCCTTAGGGCAGGAGCCGTGCCTCATGCCCCTTAACCCCGACTCTCTGGGAGGCAGAGGCCGGAGGGTCGCAAGTTTAAGCCCAGTCTGGGCAACCTAGGGACTTGCCGAGACCCTGCTTCAAAATAAAAGATAAGGGTGTGGTGGTTCTGGGATGTAATTTAGTGCGAAAGCACTGGGTTCAATCCCCAGTACCAAGAGAGAAAAAAAACCCACTAACCTGCCCAAGGTCTCGGCCTGGCTAGGTAGCAGAATGGGTGGGATTCGAACCCAGGCCCTGGACAGTAACTCGTGCCTGATGATTGGCTGAGCTGCTGCCTGTGTGTCTCAACTCCCCAAGCAGAGAGAGACCTGTATTCCAAGACCCAACACTTTCCAGCCCTGTGACTTGAGGCCAGTTTCTCACCCTCCATTTGCCTCAGTTTCTCAGTCTGGAGGAGATGGGACACAGTGCCAGTGTACTTCAGCCTGGCCTTGAATTCATTATGCAGCACAGGGTGGCCTTGAACTCCCAGCCATCCTCGTGCCTTGGATTAAAGGTGTACATCACCAAGTCCAACCCATAGCTTCTTTTTTTTGTTTTTTTGTTGTTTTTGGGGGGGTGGGTACCAGGGATCGAATTCGGGACCTTGCGCTTGCGAGGGAGGCAGCGGAACCACTCAGCTAAATCCCTAGCCCCATAGCTTCTTAATAAAGTTCCATAATGAGAATGTACAGAAGGGAAGCCCTCAATGCCTAAGTATAGATGTTCCTATGAGCCATGAGGAAGTGTTAGCAGTTGTCAGTCTTGGTTTTGTTATGGCTTAAGTCAGTGTAACTGGTGCCTTTTAATTTTGTAAATGTAGTAACGTATTGTCTAATGAAAACTTTAGACTATAAAACATGTCACTATACAAAAGAGTATATAATATGTAGAGTGGAAAGAATACCCCAAAATGAGCCCATGTTATCCATGGGGTTTGAAATATATATGCTTTTTTTTTTTTTTTGAACTGAGTGGTTCTCAGCCAACGGTGATTCGGCCCCTCTGGGACGTTCACCCGTGTCTGGCGATGTGGGCTGTCAGTATGGAGGACGCAGTGGCAGTGTGGACGCTAGGAAGCTGCTGAGTATCTTGCCGTGCACAGGATGGGCCCACGGAGTGTCTGGCTGGAGTGCCAGGAGCTCAGGTGAAGGAGCCCCACTTAAACCTCCTAAAAGGATGCACAGACTTGGGGTGGGGTGTGGGGGTAGGCACCTGCCCAGCGAGCAACAATGCCTGGGCCTCTACCCCCAAGGCAAGGTCGAGCAGTACCTGCTCCTCACACAACAGAAAGCTTAGCTCAGGTTCTGCCCTCTAGACATAGCTATTCTGTGGGGGTTTTCCCCATTTGTTTATTTCTTTGTTTTCGGTACTGATGATTGGACCAAGGGCTCAAGCGGGCTAGCCAAAGGCTCTGCTATTGGCAACAGCCAGTACTTGAACAGCAATCGCTGTGTAAGATGAAACTGTTACTGGATAGATGGGCCTATCTCCCCCAGGTCCAGGTTCTTTGTGTCCACGACAAAGAACTGAGCAGGACACACAGAAGCTGAGGAGGATGGGTTTGTGTACTGAAGGGGAAGTGCAGGCTGTGGGGGTGGCAGTGGTATGACTCATGCCCTGTCTGTCTGAGGATCCAGGCTAGAGTACTTGGTCTGAGTTCCCAGCAGCAGAGCTGGAGGTGGCAACTGCAGTGAGTTCTGAGGTTGGCTTTTCTGGTCTTTTCTTAGAATTTGGGGCGGAACAGTAACTAACTGGGCTAATTCCCTCACTTTGGGAAGGGAAGTTTTGTTTGTTTTGGTTTGGGTGTTTTGAGTAGGGTCTTCTTCTGCCTCAGGAAGTTTTTGACTGTACAGACCCAGCACCCCCTGGGGGAGGGGGCATGGGCAGTGCTGAGAAAAAGGTGGGGGACCCCAAAGCAGTTTGAGCCCACGTTCCCAGGCTCCTGCTTGAGGCCCAGTAAGGCTGAGGAGGCAGAGATGTGTTAGGGATGGGCTCCATCAGGGTGGTGAGGGCATTGAGGTGGGCACAGTGAGAGCAGGTGCCCTGTGGTCACCAGCAGCCAACGGCACCCTGCCTATGGTGAACCAGAGGCCTGGATGCTCCTGCAGGTCTCCTGCCTCAAACGTATCAGACAGGGCACCTGGGATGGACAGGGCTGGAGAGGTCTTCTGCCTGGGCCCCACCTCCCACCCTGTCCACGCAGGCTGTCCAGGTCCCGGCCTAGTTATCTGGGCTGCTCTGCCCCAAGGCTCAGGTGAACTGTGCCTTTACTTAGGGTTTCTGGGGCAGCGGCCACTTGTGGATAGGGCTCCCTCTCACCTTTGCATATTGGCCCAGACCCTAACTACAAACATAGCAGGGCAAGCTCGTCCCCAGGGTATTAATTTGAAAGTCACACCTGTGAGATTTTTTAAAGATTTATTAAGACCCATTAAGACTCAGGTCATGTGGCTGGAGGTACATGGAGTTCATTGTAGACCATATGTTTAGATCCACGAGGCCCTCCCTGTGCAGTCCCCAGCACTGAGAAAAAAACATCATCTACATACTGTATAATTCACTCGTTTAAACAGTACAACCCAATGGCACTCAGTATATTGACAGTGTTGTGTGTCTATCTCCACAGTCAGTCTTAGAACATTTTTATTACCCCTAAAAGCAACTCCATACCCATTTTAAAAATTTTTTTATCAGTCCATGTTTGCAATGCAAAATTATTACATCCCTTGTGTGGAGTTTGTTCATGGACATAACACATCTTAATTCTTTTCATCCCTTTTCTTCCCCTCCTTCCATCCTTAGGTCTCATTCTCGAAAGATCTATCTCCCAACTTACTATTACCCATCTTTTACTTTTTCTTTATTTATGTTTGGGTTTCTCATAAAAGAAACAGTGGGGGGCCGGGGATTTAGCTCAGTGGTTCTGGCGCCTGCCTCGCAAGCGCAGGGTCTCAAGTTCGACCCCTGGTACAGAGAGAAAGGAAGGAAGGAAGGAAGGAACCATGGGATTCTTAAGCTTGTGTTTCTAATATATTTTCACTTAACATTATGGTGTCAAGATGCATCCATTTTCCTACAAATAACTCATTTATCTTTCTTTATGACAGAGTAGTACTCCATCCTGTGTACATACCACATGTTTTTATTCTTTCCTGCGTTAAAAGGCACCTGGGCCTCTTCTAAGATTTAGCTATTATGAATTCTGCTGCTATAAACATAGGTATACTCATATCACTGTAATATGTCTTAACTCTTTTGGGAAGATACCTCGAAAGGGAATAGCTGGGTCAAATGGAATGTCTAGTGATAATTTTTTTTTCTAGTGATACTGTTATACTAAATCGCAAGAGATTATAGAGATTATAGAGAATTGCCATCCTTAGCCAAATTTGAATTCTTTTATTGCTGGCGACCGAGAGCAGCTCACGCAGGAAAACTCTTGACAATGAAAACTAGCTTGCGGTTTCTTTTAAGTGGCTCTTCTAGTTGGGGAGGGCTCAGGGAGAGGGGGAGCACAAGTGAAATTTCACAGGACAGAATTTTGCTAAGTTAGTGGGGGTCAGGGGAAGTTTCACACAGTTTATTTGAAACAAAATATCACACAGGTGTGGAGTATTCTGTTCACAAGGTCATAAAGATAACATACAGTTGCAGACTGCTCTACCAAATGGGATGTGACAGCATCAACTGAGAGGACTCCCAAAGGGAGAGGGGGAGGCAACCACCCGGAATCACTCGACTTGACATGAAATGGGGGGAACAGTGATGAGGCACAAAATGGAGTCAGGTTGGCTATCACAATAGTTTTTTGAGGAATCTCCAATCTGATTTCCACAGTGGTTGTAACAGTTTACATGCCACCAACAATGAAGAAAGGTCTCTTTTCCCCACATCTTTGCCAGGATTCGATACTATTTTATTTCTTGATGGTGGCCATTCTTTCTGGTGTGAGATAGAATCACAGGGTTATTTTAATTTGCCTTTTTCTAATGGCCAGTGATGTTGAGCATTTATTCATGTATTTATTGACCATTTCTACTTCTTCTAAGAAGTGTCTATTCATTTCAGTTGCCCATTTTTTTCTTTTTTGTATTTATTTATTTATTTATTTATTTATTTATTTTACAGTACTGGGGATCAAACTCAGGACCTTGTGCTTTCGAGGCAGGCGCTGAGCCACTGAGCTAAATCACCAGCCCTTTTTTGGTTTTTTTGAAACAGGATCTTGCTGTTTTTTGAAACAGGCCCAGGCTGGCCTCAAACTTGAGGCAATCTTCCTGCTGGAATTACAGGTGTCTGCCATCATGCCTGGCTTGAGTTCTTTATATATATATATATATATTTTTTTTGGTACTGGGGATCGAACTCGGGTCCTTGCGCTTACACAGCAGGCGACGAAACTACTGAGCTAAATCCCCAGCCCCCTTTATATATTCTTGATATGAGTCTTCTGAGGAGTAGCTGGCAAAATTTTTTCCCCCATTCTTACGTTGTCTTTTCACTTTGTTCATTGATCCTTTTGCTGTGCAGCTTTTTAATTTGATATAACCCTGTTTGTTGATTCTTGGTATTATTTCCTGTGCAACTGGGGTTCTGTTCAGAAAGTTCTTGCCTGTGATAGCCAGGTATGGTGGTGTATGCCTGTAATCCCAGCACTCTGGAAACTGAGGCAGGAGGATCACCACAAGTTGGAGGTCAGCCTGAGTTACATAGTGAGAGGGTTTCAAAAATATTGTCCCAACAGTCACTCACAACCTCATTTGTTTTCCCCAGTGAGACGTGTTGCTCTGCCAGACACTTCACATAAGGAAGCCACAGTGCTCACTGCTGCTCATGACTGACTCCCTTGCTCAGGTGTGAGATCTTGCCCACTGTAGCTGCACTAGTACTTTTTTTTGTGGAGCTGAGGGTGGAACCCAGGGCCTTGCACATGCTACACCCCAGCCTTTAATGATACCCATCACATGGATGCAACACCTCTTGTTTGCCCACTTAGTAGTTGTGGGTGCTCAGGTTCTCTCTGGTTTTGTCAATCATGAACGGTGCTGCTGTGACATTAGCTGCAGTGAACACAAATGTTCATTTTCAGAGGTTGTGTACTCGGACGGAACTGCCGAATCATCTGCCACAGCTGCATAGGTTCACACTCCCACCAGGGGGGCAGGAGGATCACAGTCTCAAGACATCCTTGTTGGCCACTTGGCTGTCCATCTTTTTGGTTCCAGCCTTGGAGTTGGTGTGATTTGACATTTCCCAGTGGTTTGTGTGTGTTTCTCTAATAAGTAGCTGAGCATCTTCTCATGTGCAGATTGGCCATTCATGTGCCCTTTTCAGAGGACACTTCCAACTTTGCAGGCACCAGAGACACCAGGTGGTCCTAGTGCTCAGAGGGTATGGGAGGCTGCCCGCTGCATGCAGGGTGGAACTCATTCTCCACCCACGCTGGGCCTGCCAGCCCTGTCCCTGACCTCCTCGCTCACCTCACCAGCCTCTTTGGTCTGGATGCAGGGCCTTTGCACTTGTTGCTCCCTTGGTCTCCCTATGCCGGCTTTCTAGGCTGTGTCACTCAGTTTCCTCTTGCTGCTGTGACAAGTCACCACACATTGAGTGGTGTCTCCCAGTTCTGCAGGCCATGCCTTGGCCCATGGCCCCTCCTTCTGCCTTCTCATCTGCTTCTGATCTGTGCTTTTTCTTCACACCTCTGAGTCCAACACTCCTGCCTCCCCCTGGTGCTGTGTCTGCTTCCCGAAGGGCTGTGCAGGGCCCTGGCCACGGCCTGTCCTCCTTGGGCCAAGTCTGCCATGCAGCCAGGCCTTTTGCCCTTGCTGGATCCTGGTGCTGAACCAGTGAGAGACTGGGAATGTCCTTTAGTCCTAAAAGTCTTGGCTCCTGTGAGGCCGTTTAGAGAAGCATGGTCCCTCTGAGTAGGTTGTGGTCTGGGAAAGAGGGTGTGAAGACATGGGAAGATCAAAAGTGATTCAAAAACTCTCCAGCCACAAATCTTTTGGATTTGACGCTTGGCAGATGGTCTGGCTGCCTTGTAGTTATTTCCTGACATCTGTGGCTGTCACGGGCCTGGGCTTGGAGAGGATCTCAGTCTCTAGGCCAGGCTTCCCGGGTATCTCGCAGGGCGTGACACCATGTGTGAGGCTCCCCTCCAGCCCCTTCTGGCTCCCGTGTGCTGTCCTTGTGTACTGTTGCCGGACTGTGTAAACTCAGTCTAGGACGACCCTCTTGGCCTGCCTTTTCCTCCCCTGTGGTGCCTCCCTCAGGGTTGCTGGGAGGCTTTGGGAAATGGTGTTGTGGAGGTCTTGAGAGTTCACCTTTTCCTGCATGAGGAGGGGCTGCTTAGCCTGGAGAAGGGGCATTTGCCCCCATCAGGGCATTTCAGCAGCATTTCAATGTCCTCTGTTCTGGAGGACACTCAGGGTGGCCAGGGTGAACTCAGAGAAGGAGTACTAGAGTGGTAGTCTCCATGTGAGAGTCCCGGGGCATCACACACTTGCAGGTGACATTTTTATTCCAGCTGCTTCCACCCTCACCTGATCCTCAAGGCCACCTCTGAGGCAGGTTCTTCTGTCCTTGTTTGGCAGATGAGGAAACTGAGGCTCAAACAGTGGTGAAGGGCCTTCCTTAAATCCACAGCAAGTAAGCAGCTGAGATGGGATTTGAACCTAGGCCTCAGAAGTCCCTGGTCCGGCCTCTGAACCACCTGTATCCTGTCCTGCTGACTTACTATGTGAGGCAGCTTTCCATTCCTGGAACAAATACCAGCGATCACAGTTTATCAAGAGAGAAGGGCGCCATGGCTCATAGTGTCTGAAGCCTCAGTCCCTGGTCAACTGGCCCCATGGCCTTGGCCCTGTAGAGAGGCACCACCTTGTGGCAGGAGCATGGTGGAGAAATGCGGTGCCCACCATGGCACCAAGAAGAAAGAGAGTCTGAGAGAGCCACACCAGGGTCCCCCTATGTCCTCCAAGGGAGGTCCTCAGTGAGGAGGAGACCCTGCACCAGGTTTTGCTTTTTCCACTACCCCCAGGAAAGACAGGCCTTTAGCACATGGGCCTCCCAGGGACATTCACTATTTAAGTAAGCTGGGCATGGTGCATACCTGTCATTTCAGCACTCAAGACTGAGGCAGGAGGATCATGATTTGAGGCCTGCCTGGGCTACATAGTGAGCTGGCTCCAACTACATAGTGAGACTCTGTCCCCAGGCAAACAAGCAAGCAACCAAACAAGACCCAGACTACAGCAATAGCACCTGCTTCTGTATCTATAGGAAAAAACCTGGAAGGTAAGGAAGGTTCTGGTGGCTTTCTTGGGTCTTCCTGGTGGAATGGTCATGAGGACTTTGATTTTTCATTTTCCAAATGCCCTGCAGTGAGCAGGTGTTACTTGCCTGGATGAGAGGAGTGTGTGACTCAGCAGGAGCTCTTGGCAGTGACTCACCCTCATCTCTGTCCTGACCCTGTGTCAAGGCGTAGATGTTGCTGGTGGTCAGACCTTCGACTTCAGCTGTGTCACTTCCATGTGCCCCCACGAAGGCCTCTCTGAGTTCACTTCCTGCTTCTCTTGGATCACAGGGCCAGTGTAGCCCATGGAGTTCTCATTCTGCCAGTGCAGTGCCTGGCTTGTCTTCCTGTTACCTGCTCTGCCTCCTGGGCTAACCCTTTTTGAGGGGGTAATTAATATATAATTATTATATTTTGTGTGAGTTTATAATTATGCTGTCTTTATTATTTTATAAACAAAAGACTCCCGCACCTGTGTGATATTTTGTTTTAACTAAACTGTATAAAACTTCCCCAACCCCCATTAGCTTAACAAAGTTCTGCCCCTATAAAACTCCACCTGTGCTCCCCCTCTCCCTGAGCCCTCCCCAAATAAAAGAGCCCTTTAAAAAACCCTACCAACTGCTTTTGCTTTGTCCCAAATCTTTTTATTTTATTTTTATTTTTTATTTTTTTTGGTACGGGGGATCGAACTCGGGACCTTGCCCTTGTGAGGCAGGCACTGGAACCAAAATCCCTGGCCCTATCCAAAATCTTTTTAATATAAGCTATGCTAAATCAGCTGGCTTATAACAAAAAATTCCATTTAATTCAAAATATAACACATCTCTATACTTCCAACTCACCTGGCCCTATTACAGCTGCTGTTTCCGGTGTGGCTGACATCATTTCTGCTGGCCGGGACTCTCCTGTGGTTTCCAGTGACTGAAGCTGCAGCTCTGGAACTTTCCATCCAGCCAGGCACTTCCCTAGAGGGAAAAGGATTGTGTAATTTGACATGGTTCTGCCTGCTTAGAGATCCCCAGTGGCCCTTAGCAGAGCCTGGGCTTCATCCTGCCAGAGCTCCACCAAACTTTGGTGTCGCTAGAGCTGTCACAGGCCCTGTGCACTGTGTGCGCTCAGTGACATGCTGTGAACAATGCCTGTCCAAGCGAATGAATGACCTGCTCAGAGTCTCATTCCACCTGATCTGACATTCTGAAACTGAAGAGATTTTTTTTTTTTTTTAAGACATGGTCTCGCTATGTAGCCCAGGCTAGCCTTGAACTGGCAGTGATCCTCTGCCTCAGCCTCCCAAGTGCTGGGATGGGAATGCACCACCACACTTGGCTATTTTATATCCATCCATCTATCTATATCTATCTATCTATCTATCTATCTATCTATCTATCTATCTCCATATCATCTAGCTAGCTAGCTAACTGGTTTTTGTTTGTTTTTTTGTTTTGTTTTTTTGTAGTGCTAGGTTGAACCCAGGACCTTCACACTGAGCCACACCCCCAGCCCTTTTTAATTTTTAATTTTGAGACAGAGTCTTGCCAAGTTGCTAAGTTGTCCAAGCTGTGCTGGAACTTGTGATCTGCCTGCCTCAGCCTCCTAGAGCGCTAGGATTACAGGCATGTGCTACCATGTCCCGCTATTTTTAGGGTTTTTGTTTTAATCCTGGGGACCAAACTCAGGCCATCACATAGGCTAGGTGAGCACTCTATTACTGAACTGCACCCTCAGCCCTACCCCCAGGCTGTTTTATTACTAGTTTTATAAAAAGTATCTTTCATGTCAGTGAAATAGTATGGAATCAAATTCAATCGAATACTATGTGACCATCAAAAATGCCACTATGAGAATCTTGTAACAACTCAGAAAAAGCTCATGCTGTAGAGTTAATCAGTAAGAGCAGGATGCAAAATCTTATAGTCTGGCAAAAGCTGTGTCAGAAGCCTTACTTGTATAGAGGGGGTGATTTTGGAAAGGAGAAGTAGACTTGGTCAGGCAGAGTAAAGAGATGCTGTGTATTTTTTTTTCTGCATTTTCTTTAATCAACCCACAGTAGTGCTTTGCTTTATGAACTTCATTTTTTCCATGTTTCTGGTCACAGAATTCATTCCACGATTCTGACTGCGACTGAATTGCATAGGCTCGCATAGGCTAGGTGAGCACTCTACTACTGAGCTACATCCCCAGCCTGAATAGGCCTGCAAATCTGAATTCTACAACCAGAATCATGGAAAGAATGAAGTTCATTAACTAAAAAACCAAAAATGAAGTTCATGAACCCAGGTACCACTGTATTGATTTTGTGATAAAAAATGAACAGAAGTAATGCAGTATTTTTATTTGTCACCAGTAGCTTCCTGCACATTTCCCTGTACTCTGGAGTTGGCAGTGTGCTTTTGTATCCAGCAGCTCTCCCTGTCTCTCTCTCTCTCTCTCTTTTTCAGTGGTACCAGGAGTTGAACTCAAGCCTCCCACATGCTGGGCAAGTACTATATTACTGAGCTACATCCCTCCCCTTTTTATTTTACTTTGTGATGGAGTCTTAGAGAGTTGCTCAGGCTGACCTTGAATTTGTGATTCTCCTTCCTCGGTCTCCTGAGTAGCTGGGGTCACAGATGAGTGTTCCTATGCCTAGCTTCCAGGGGCACTCATGACCCTTGTCATAGTCCCTCGAGGGTGCTGGGCTTGAGTCCTGTGTCCACTCATTCCTCATCAGGGCGGGCCTCAGACAGCCACTGCCATGCCTCTTGTGCCACTGAAGGCAGCTTGCCTGCTTCCACCTGGTCCTAGATGGGAGGCAGCAGAGTCCTGTCTGCATGGAGTTTCCCCCGTGACACGCAGCCCTAACAGACATAGCTGTATCCAAGGCTTGCACCCTCTTGCCTATGATCTCGCTCTTATTCTGTGTGGCAGTCAGGTTGATGTTTAGGTTCATGTGCCCATGTGCCAGTCCCATGAGTGTTCAACAGAGTGAGTGTTGAGAGGTTCAGGTGGAGCCGTGCATGGTGACACACGCCTGTAATCCCGGCACTCTGGGAGACTAAGGCAGGAGGATTGCAATTTCGAGCCAAGCCTTAATAACTTAGTGATTTAGTGAGATTCTGTATGAAAATAAAAAGGGCTGGGGGGCTGGGAATTTAGCTCAGTGGTTCTGCCGTCTGCCTCGCAAGCACAAGGCCCCAAGTTCGATCCCAGGTACCGGAAAAAAAAAAAAAAAAGATAAAAAAGGCTAGGATTTATCTCAGTGTTAAGGCCCTGTGTTCAAATCCCAGTACCATAAATACATGCATGTGCACATATGTATGTACATAAAACAGGAAGAGGCAGGTAGGGCCAGTAACAAAGCCCAAGGCGTGGGTCCCTTGTGGAAGGCCTGCCTCTCAGCATCTCTCAATTGCCTTCCAGCCTCCTACGTGATCACCGACCTAACCCAGCTTCGGAAGATCAAGTCCATGGAGCGTGTGCAGGGTGTGAGCATTACTCGGGAGCTGTTGTGGTGGTGGGGCATGCGGCAGGCCACAGTGCAGCAGCTGGTGGACCTCTTGCGTCACCTGGAGCTCTACCGCGCTGCCCACATCGTCCTGAGCTGTGAGTGCTGGCCTGACCCCCTGGGTCTCCATATGGGCTATGCTCCCTGTCATCTTATTTCCTCTTCCTGTGGCTGAGTTTGGAGCCTCGGGCCTTATGCATGCTGTGCAAGTGCTCCTCCACCAAGCTGCACCTGAGTTGCATCCGAGCCCTTCAGATGCTTTACTTAGGCTGACCTTGAACTCTCAGAGATCTTCCTGCCTCAGCCACCCAAGTGCTGGGATCACAAGTGTGCACCACCACACCTGGCTTAACAGTATCTCATCAGAGAAACATGGACAGGTGCATTATTTGCTCACAGCCCCTTTTCATACTGACAGTGGCATACCACATACTGCTGTATACTTACAGTGGTACTCCAGTTCACAAACGCTTTTGTTTTCAAACAGTTTAGTTCTAAAACGGGTGTTTGGCCAAATTTTGTTTTCTGCATTGGGTGACAAACACAACCATGGCCATCTTTTCCATATGAACACACACATGGGCATCTTTCCAAAATCAAGGGACGAATTAAGTTCATGAACTGTGGAGCATCACTGTATTTTTAACTCAACACTAGATCTTAGAGACAGTTCCCTGATGATGAGTCCTTTCTCTCAGCCAGGTGTCAGGGTGGCTTCTAGCCCTTCTCTTCTGGGCAGTGTTGTGATGCCCAGCCTTGAACTCACACACATCCTTCTGCACACACTTGAGTACAACATGGTAGGAAGACTTTCTAGCACTGGAATGACTGGGTTGAACATCTGTGTATTTTGGGGGCTGACATTGAGATCACTGTTGCTAAATTACTCATCTACGAGAAGGTCTTATCAGGGGGCCGTGTTTTCTGGTAATGACACCTCCCTGCCTTGAAGGGTGGCTGTAAGATGTCCCCAAAATGCCCTCCCAGGTGGCCAGGGAGCTAGTCTTCGTCTGGTACATGCCTTGTGCCCGCTGCAGCTGGCAATCTGGAATGCAGCATGGGGATGCAGCTGTTTTTCTACCCTCACAAAGAGCGTCATCTTGTGTGGAGGCAGCTACCAGACAGGAGAAGGAGGAAAACTAAATGCACCCATTAGAGAAAGGGCAAGAGCCCAGAGTGACCAGGTAGCAGGCTGCCTGGAAGGGTGACCAAGAAAGGTCAACTAGACAGACGAGACCTCGGGAACTAGCTGGTGAGCGAAGAAGCAGGGTCAGGATGTGCAAAGCCCCTGGGGAGCATAGGGTGAGGGAGGAGCTCTAGAAAAAGGATGGCCTGGTGGGAGGCAGAGAGCAGGGCAGGGCGGGCCCCAGAGTTGTCCTTTCTGGGCTTCCTAGGCTGGGCCAACAGACTCAGGCTTAGCACTTCCTGATTGTCCCCTAGGTGTTCTGGAGTTGGGGTGGCTCCCAGAGAGGAGATTGAGAGCAAAGGACCAACAGGTGGGGCTGGGGAACACTAGGGGCATCCAGAGCTGCAGCCCATGCCACCCAGCAACTCCCCAGAACCCAGTATGCCCGGTGTTTTTGGACACTAGGATTTCCTGTTTGGGGCCAGGAATGGGGCATGAGAGAGACTCCAGGCAGGCATGTTTCTGCACAGCCCCACCCTGCTCCCTCTGTGCCTCAGCAAAGTGGTCCAAAACCCAGACCAGCACCTCGATCACGGCCACTTTCCAAGCCCTCTTTCTCAGCCTGAGGGTGCCAGCTGCTCAGGGCACAGCCTGCCCACTTGGAACCTGCCCAAACCCCTACCCACCCTGCCTGCCTGAGCCTCCTCAGGCCCTGGCTTCTTCTCACTTTTCTGCAGGCCAGGGCTGCACACTGCTCAGCTAGAGAAGCCTGAGTGGTCTCACTGGAGGTAGCAGCCTGAGCCAGTGCCATGCGGGAAGGTCTCTGCCTTTCCCTGGGCATCCGCGCCTCCACCCCCAGAGCACTGGCACACATGGCCTTGCGTTTGAGTAGTGTGACTGATTCCTGCCAGCTGGCCTGAGACCCCAGCTTTGGCTTCTCTGTATTCCCAGAACCTGACACATGGCAGATGCTGTTTTATTTTTTTATACTGAGGATTGAACCCAGAACCTTGAGCTGAGCTACATCCCCAGCAGCCCTCTTTTTTTAAAATTTTGAGTCAGAGTCTTGCTGAGTCCTAAGTTGCTCCAGCTGGGCTTGATCTTCCTACCTCAGCCTCCCATAGTGCTGGGATTATAGGTGTGGACCAGTGTACCTGGTGTTGAGAAATGATTATCAAGTGAATGTACCCTGAAATATTTCCACATTTTGAGGGGATTAATAACTAACTCAGTGGGTGAGAAGGAGGTGAGGAGAAAGCCACTGGCTCACATGCAGTCAAGACTGAGGACTGGGTGGCTGCCCTGTCCACTTTGGGGAGGAGGGTAGCAGGGTGAGGCCTATGTTGGACTGCAGTTTGCCCCTGGGATCGGGCTGCGACACAAGGTGTCCCGACAGGATGTGGAGAGCATAGAAGCACTGGATTGAGACACCAGCCCCTGAGGACAACTACACACACTTGCCTCGATGTCAGAGCCTCGCTGTTGGCTAATCTCAAGCACAGTCTTAATCATTTGAGGTCCGTGCACAACACAGTGCAAAACAGAAGAAAGCACACTCCTGTGACACTTTCTGAGCTCAGGCAGCAGCACTTTGGAGGGCCCAGGTACTGGGCTGAGCACTGGGTAGCACTCAGCAGCCCCTTTGGGTATCTGGGGCCCCCTTGTCCACCCTGGAAACCCCGGCTGAGACCCCAGGCCTGTCTGCATCCAAGGCTGAGGAGGAGGCTACTGGCCTGGGCTTGGGCCTTCAGGAAACACTGGTGACATCTTGGCTCTGGCTTCCGTTCGTGTGTAACTCTCCTCAGTTCTCCAGGAATATTTCTCCACCCCTAACCCTGCTGATTAATGAGGCTGGAAGAATAAGGATGAGGGCCTGTCCCCTAGTCCCCAGCTGTTCTTGGTAAAGGGTCTAGTGTGTTTCCACTGTTGCTTTGAGACCTCAAGCCAGGCGCTTCTCTTTTCTATATCTTGAGTGTTGTTTGTTTGTTTTGTTTTTTGTTTTTCTCATTAGGAGACAAAGGTGCTATAAATCCCTGTCACTTCCTGGATGTCAGCATGCAGTGTGTGTGAGAAGCATTTGACGTCTGTGTTCGGACTGGTCAAAGCCTCTCCTCCTCTGAAATTATAACATTAGTTATGTGTGATTTTGCATTTATTTGCTTATGATCCTTTGTTAGCTTGCTCAGCTGCCCCCACCTTGAGCAATTTGAGAATTGATTTCCAATCACCACTGTTTTCTTTTTTGGCAGGTTCTGAGCAAGCTTTCTACCGCAGAGGTACATCTGTAGGCTACTTTATTACTTTTGTACTTTTTGGTCCATTCTTCTGAGCTGAGAGGAGGGAGTGGTGGTTACACACTCAGCATGAGGAAGTTTGGAGAAACAGTTTATTTTTACAAGAAGAAAATCTTAGTATTTTACAGGTCCAGTTTACCCTCTTGGTCATATTACCACTGAAGGCTCATAACAGAAAGTGGCTGCCCCTTCTTTGCTCCAGCAAATTCTCTTAGTAGTGCCAGCCTTTTATCACTCTCTTCACCTTATTTATTTTTGTGATTCTGTGGATTGAATCCAAGGTCCTTCACACTTAGCTACACAACCAGTCCTATTTTATTTTATGTTACTTATCTATCTTTATTTATTTTGGGGTTTGGTTTTATTTTTTTTGGTACCGGGGATCGAACTCAGGACCTTCCACTTTCGAGGCAGGCGCCGGAACCAGTGAGCTAAATCCCTGGCCCCTTATTTTTGGTTTTTTGACACAGGGTCTTGTTATGTAGTTCAGACTGGCCTCACTCTTGTGGCAGTCCTCCTGCTTCAGCCTCCTGAGTGTTAGGATTGCAGGTGTGCACCACCATGCCTGGCTTTTTTTTGAGTTGGTCTCTCCAAGTTGCTCAAGCTGGCCTTGAACTTGGCACGCTTTCTGCCTCATTCTCCCAGAGTGCTAGGATTACAGGTTTGTGCCACCACTTATTTCTTCACTGATTCTCGATAGTCTGCTGTATTGGCATTCCAGGCTGTCAGCTTAACAAAGGGCGGCTGGAACAGCTTCACTGAGAGCCGTGCTTCTTTCTCACCCAGTGACAGTGCAGACCATCTGGGCCAGTGGAGGATCTGCCTCTTACCTCTTGTCCTCTCCCAAGCCATTGGCCATAGCCTCATCGCTGCAGCACATCTGGTTACAAGAGAGGCCGGGAAGCAGTCTCTAGCGGGAGATTATGTGTACCTCTGAAGCATCTGTTACTCTAGAAGAGGAGGACACATGCGTCAGAGGGCCAATTAGAAGTCTCTGCCCCAGTCATATCCATACCTGATTTCCTACACATAAAACATGCCTTTCTTTCCCCAGGGGAGATACACCTGAGTGCTTACAAGTCTTTCCTGTGCCTCAGCTGATGCACTGCCCTCCCCATCCATGCCCAGTGACCCAGTGCTTTCAATCAGAGGTGTTCTCTGCACCCTCTTCCCTGACACCTGACATGCAGTCGTGAGATTGGAACAAGAATAAAGCCCCCACGTGAAATGAGAAACGCATGGTGGTTGCTTACCTGTGGTGATTTGGTGGGGCAGCACTGTCTGCTAGGGCAGTGAGTTCTTTGTTCTGCCCATCTGGCTCTCCTCAATAGATGTGTGATTCTCAAAGCTTCCTAAGCAAAATCACCTAGGAACATTGTTAGAAGTGCACATTACTGAGTCTGGGGATGTAGCTCAGTGATAGAGGGCTTGCCTACAGGTGGAGCCTGCATCCCCAGTACCCACCAAGAAAAACCCCAAAACAAGCACACATGCAAATCAGTGGGCCCCAACTCATCTAGTCTTCCAGAGACTCCGGGACGGGGTCTAATATTCTGTCTTAAAGACTCCAGGGATCCTGGTGCACCTTCAGGTTGCACTCACCCACGGGGAAGTCTGTGATTGCTGGCTTTGCCTTAGGAGGCAAAGGTGATAGAGCTGCTGGGTCACTATTATTGCC